CTCTATAAAACGTGGATTCCTTGTGCCCAAGAAACCTAGCAATAGGAAGAAATAGCGGGGGAAATTCCTATTGCCCGAAGAATTTCCTTAGGCGTGTTTTCACCCTTTTTTTTTTTTTTTTTTTTTTTTTTTTTTTTTTTTTTTTTTTTTTTTTTTTTTTTTAGCCAAACACATTCAATAATATTCCAAAACTTAAAGTGAGCCCAGGGTCCTCACAATTCAACTCGGAGTTATCTCGGTAGCATTAGCCGATTTAAGTTTGATTTTAACCAATTCCCCTTTTAAACTTCAAAAATATGAGTCGCTCATCTACTTCTACCTCCCTACTCCCTACTACTACGTCTATCTAAGTCACCAATTCCTATTTAATACGCAGGCCTAAGAACGGTCTGGACCCCGGCCTATGCGGCGGGTTGGAACTTTCTTATTCTTGCACACCTTGCCACTCTCCACCCTCCATCCCTGTTGGGCCTACTGTGGCCCTAAACTACAAAACCGAGTGGACCTGGTTATTCCTATAAAACAAATTATACCTTCACAAACAGAAAATCCTTAACAACCCCCAAAAAAGAATCCGTTTTAACTTCTCGCCCTACTCAGCTACTTTCCTATTGATAACCTCTCTCGTGGTACAACTGGTCCTCTTTCCTGCTGCTATCCAAGACACCTTATCGTTTTGCTTGAACCAAGGTGACAGTTTCAGCTTTCCATCTTCTAAGATTGCTGCAATTTGGTGTCCCCGTGCCCACATTCTTTTGAACCACTTTTGTCCTTTTGAGTTGACTTTGTGGGCATTCTTTCTTCTCCAAATATGCCCCAATCTCGTTTTTCAATATCTTTTTGAAGAGTCTTTCTGCCTGTTGGTTTGCCATTTCCTCATTGCAGAACCGTCTACCATTCTTGTCCTTCCAGATCAGCCATATCATTATTGCCCTCTCTGTCTGAGCCACGTACCCCCACCCTTTGTTTCCTGTCAGATCTGCAGGCAGGAACCCTCCCAACACCCATCTTTCATTCCCAGCATCGTTTCTTCTCATGATTTCCTTCCAATGAAACTGCCACCATTTCTTTCACTGGGGGCATGACCACCATAGGTGTCGCATATCTTGAAATGATCATTTACATCTATCAAAGGTCCTTGCAACAGACGTCATTCCCTTTGAATGTAACCATGTGCCTGTTGGTACCACAAGGTGTGACTGTAGCCACAACAGAGACGTCCGTTTTTGTGACGGTAGGTCCTTCAGTTGTGTCCACAGGTCTTCCAACTCCTCTCTACCCGGTGGTTCTAACCCCGTCACTCCCTTCTCCCAACGCTCTATAATCTTAGGTACCAACTGCTGCCTACTCTTATCCAAACCTCCTATTAGTTTGCTTATCAAGTAATTCTAGTCCCTTTATCTCTTGTTGTCCTACAGACCACTTCCAAGTTTCTGAGTCAATCCTAAGCTTGCACAAGCTCCTTCCATTTCCCACCAGTTCCAACCCTTCTCTGGCTTGTGTTTCTGTGTTCTTTTTTTCGATTGCCTTCCCGAGGATAGGTGGAACGAACAATTCATTGGGGATTTCGCGTCCCCGAGGAGTGTCTAACGACGCCCTTATTACAGATGTCAGTCAAGAACGGACCCATTGAATCCAGTGTGTCAATAAAAAATTCCACAGGACATTTTCCTTCTGCAAGAAATCTCGCTGCTTACTCCAGTTCCTCTAACGTGAAGGGCTGGTACATAGGGCCTCGTTGCACTACTCTTGAAAGGTGAAAGGTGCAAAACGAGAGTGAATCTTCCGCTAAAACATGGAAAAATACAGCGACATGATTTTTGTTTTTTTTGCATTTCAAGAGTAGTGCAGCGAGGCCCATAGAGTTTTGTGCAGTGGAGCGAAGTCTCTAAAATTAAATCCAGCGCGTCCAACTGCAGAGATCATAATGGGCCTCGGTCCATTACCACCGTCTTCCCCCGAACACAACGCACCCTTATTTTGCCCGTATTTGGCCGGAAATATAGCTTGCATACAATCATTTTCAGGGTGCGTTATGTTCGGGGGAAGACGATAGGGACATGCCTAAAAGACAAAAATCATGGCGGTGTATCTTCCCATGTTCTAGCGGAAGACTCCCTTTCGTTCTGCACATTTTGAGAGTAGTGGAGAGAGGCCCAATATCGAACTTTGAGGTCCCCAGCCTCGTCCCAATGATTTTTTTGATTTATTTTTTTTATTTTTATTTTTTTTTAGACGCAATACTAGGCTACCAGAGTGGCCCGGGGTCACTTGCCCGGCCGGGCCAAAAACAATTAAAAAAAATAAATAAATTAAATTTTAATTTTTATTCTAAATTTGGTGAAGAGATGTGACCCTGAGGCAAAAGTTGTTCAGTTTATTTTTCTGCATAACATAGTTTGTTTTCGGATTTTTTGGATTTTTTTTTTTTTTTTTTTGCTGGGACCTTCCCTGGTCCTTGCACGGGCTGGCCACCCGGGACTCGGGCGGCCCGACTGGTAGCCTAAATGCAATATTGATTTTTTATTATTATTATTATTTTTTTATTCAAACCATTTATATTCCAACTGAAAAGAGCAGAGGCCGGGGACCTCACAATTCAACCCGGAGTTATCCCGGCAACATCAACCGGTTTAGCTTCAGACCACACATCACAGGGCTAAACCACTTACTATCCTTCACTTCGAACTACCAGTTACTTTTATAAACGCATGCTAATCCCAATACTTCCTAACTGGTCCTCCTACTCTACCTACCTCCCCCGTAGCCTACTATCCTAACTCAAAGGTCTAAGTGTCGGCATGAGTCCCGACCTCCGCGCGGCCGAGAGGAACCTCGTTCCAATCCACCTCCTGACACTCTAACCGCACCCCTCACGGTCTACTGTGGCCGCCGACTGGAACCGAGTGCGCCTGGTTCAAAAATAAGATTCAACGGCATCACGCCCCACAACGCCACACAAACCTTAAAAAGGAAGAACCGTGAACCAAAGTCCTACTCGAATCTAACCACCATTCACCTAACCTCCACCCTCTTCAAGCCATCTCCCCAGTACAAGTTTGCCCTCCGGAGAGACATGTGTCAGACCCAGGCCCCATGATCGACGGAACCAGTTCTGGCCCTGCAAGGAATTCTTTTGACCCACCTTCCGGGCCTAGTCCGTCTTTATGGCTGCAGCCAAGAGTTTCCTGAACAGCCCCTCCGCCATCTTCTCCTGTATGCTCTCCCCTTGGAACCGGAGACTGTTCCTGTCCGCCCAGAGAATCCAGAGCATTATGCCCCTGCCTACGTGTGCAATATAGGCCCAACCCTCTGAATACATGTGGTTTTGCGGTACACAGCCAGTGAGCACCCACCTTTGCCCAGTTAGATCTGCCTCCCCTGCAAATCTCCTCCAATGGTATTCCCACCATCTCCACCACTTCCTAGATCTGGTGCAGTCCCACCAGAGGTGCTGCATCGACTCAGGGGCTTCTTGACATCTGTCACAGACGGTTCTCACCTCCATGCCCTTCTCAGAAAGCCATTTCGACATGGGGACCGCTAGGTGTGACTGTAACCACAGCAATGAGGCAATTTTCTGTGACGGGAGCAGCTGCAACTGCGACCAGAGTTTGGTGAGCTCCTGCTCCGAATGTGGTGCTAATTGTACTTCATTTCTCTCCCAGCGGCTCCTGATCTTCTCCCATACAGACTCCGAGTCCATCCTCCGCTTTAGGATAAGGCTAGCATTTAAGTTTTCCAGCCCCATGACCACTGACTCACCCACCTGCCAACCCCAGGTGGATGGGTCAATCCTCAAGCGACGCAATGCAGTCCCATTTCCAACAAGCACCGGAACCAGTGGGAACCCTTCCTCGCTCCGAGGAACCAATCTCACCCGGGTTTCCTCCATCCCTGCAAGGCCGTATTGTTGGCCCATCCCAACCCTCTCCAGAGCAGGGAGAGAGGGGAGGTCTCGTTTGTACGTTTCCGGCCAGCACTTGCCTGGGCAGTCCACCGACCAACTTTCCAGTCTGCAAAACTGTTCCATTCCCTCGAAAGTCGTGACAAACCAGGTACCTGGTGGGTCTATGCCTTCCGGGCCGAGTAGCTGCTTCCAATCCTCTGGGATTGCCCGCAGGAGCGATTCCAGCCGGCTTTCCTGATTCGGAAGGTGTCCCAGGGTCTCCTTCAACTGAGCCGGGGATTTCCACTGGTCGCAGCAGTCATCCCACAGGTCCCCCACCTTAGCAACACCCTTCTGTAGCCAGCTCTGGCCAAAGTTTCCTGGCCATCTTTCCAGTGAGAACCAGCCCCCGAGGATTTTCAAACAGGTGCTGGCACCTAACCTCCTCCCTGGATATCGGTGGGCCATTGAGCGTTGGCCTGCACTTCTTCCATGCCTGCAAGGTCTCCCTCCACAGCTGGGACTTGGGTCCTTTTCGCGAGTATGTTTCTGTCCTTAGAGCAACCAATGTGTCCTCAGGGCGTCTGAGGCCCCATTCCTTTGTCAACAAAGTTTCCGCTAGCATCACCCAGAGCGTCTGAGGTCCCAACTATTTTTTGCAATATAACTCGACACTTCTCAAAAAAGAAAAAGAAAAAAAAAGAGAGTAGTGGAGAGAGGCCCAATATCGAACTTTCCCGTCTGTACTGGACTCAGCTACCGGGTACCTCTTACGGTTCGCGGATTTCTTATCTACGAATCCGGAGTTCGAATCCGGTCGAAAGTAGGCGAACTGGAACGGCCATTTCTCCGAACGCATGGGAAAAAAGTTGTGTCCCGGGAGCCAATAGGAAGGGCGACCGCGCGCAAGGCGTCCAACCGGTTGTTGTTGTTTGGTTTTCTTACGTTTTTTCAGCTTCCGTATTGTATCGAATTTTCGCCTGGCCCGCTTCTTCTCGTCTGTCCCTCTCGTGTGTTTCGTCGGCCATCGACAATTCCCAGGTTGGCGCCTAAAGGACCTCCCCCAAGCGCGTCGAAGCGCGGGACGTCCGTCGGGCGGCGTGGTGTCCGCGGTTGGTCGACTAGAGTCTTGGCCTTACTGCCAAGACCGAGACCGGCTTCGTCTGTCAGTCAGGTGAATGGCCGCGTAACTGGTGCTTTGACGAACCGCCGGCCTCTTTTTCTCTCCTCGAATTCAAGGTCGTTCTCTTTTTGGGCGCCCAGAGGAACACGCCACGCCATCCCACAGCCACGCCACGTGTAACTACGCCAGGCTATAGTAGCTGTCTACATCGCCCTCGCTGCAGGCGTGGGTACCCTGTGCTTGCTTCCTTTTTCTTTCCCTTCTTCGTCTCCATCTTCCTCTCGAACTTCTTGACGAAGCTGGGCGTACAGATCGTTGGATGACCGCCTCTCGTATCTCCACCATGGCCAGCTCACGCACCCGGATGCCGCTTGCCGTCCTGCTGTTGACTACTTTGCTGTTGCTGGGCGCGGGTACTCTGCTAATCGGTAAATTTTCGTACCATCCGTTCCTATGATTAGCCTATCAATGAACCAAAATCTGGCCTTTCTTGTTTCTAGCTTGTCTCTGGCGGTGTTCGTGTTTCGTGTGTCTATGCGCACCGACAAATGGAAGGAAAAGAACGGTTTTTGTAGACTCTGGATTGCTGTGAGCATCTGTTTTTCTCTCTCGTCTCCATTTTAATCGATTTCATCCAGTGGTCTTCTCGTGATCGTAAGGCCTAGATGGCAGGTACGGATTTTTCTTATTACACATCTCGCTCATCATTCGGTGCAGTCGTCTCCGCAAAAGAATGTGAGGGGCATCAGCGTTCCATCCTGGGCTTGTGAACAACTGAAGCACGCGCATCATGCCATGGGCCGACGAGAGTGGATGGCTGCCTGATCAGGAAACGAAGAATCTCTCGGTTGGCTGATTAAACGAGTTGTATGGGAATCGGTTTCTGATCGCTCGATCGGGGTGATCTACGGCTGGCGGCAATTGACATGATGGCTTCAGTGGATAGACGGGCACGCAGTCGCAGAGAGAGAGAGAGAGAGAGAGAGAGAGAGAGAGAGAGAGAGAGAGAGAGAGAGAGAGAGAGAGAGAGAGAGAGAGAGAGGAAGGAACGAAGCGGGCAAGCTGGGCGGGAGTAGGAGGATGTGATAATCTGAGGTTTATACAGTCGTTTTGTTTTTTGGTCTTCGTGTGGTAAAGTCTGTGTTTATATGCATCGGTCCTCCTGAATGCCAAATGACCTATCCGCTGTGGGCGCTGTGCCGGATTGGGGAGTTATGGTGGCTCCTTATATGGCCCTGGTCATGCTTAGATGGAATCCTGGATTTTGGTGAAGACGATGACACCCCTCCTTCCTGGATGGTGCGTGCATGCAGTTATGCCATTTGCTGATTCCCTTTGGCCGTGAATGGCGGACCGATGCTTTCACAAGCTCGCCATAGTTTGATCGAAGAGGAGCTTCAGAGACTACAAGCGAATCAACTTTTGCCGCCTCTTAGTGCTCCGTCGATTTAGGCTCCTTCCCGTCTGCTGATTCTCTTAGATAGGTACTACGAGCCCTCTGTCCAATTGGACCTGAATGGTTCACCGGTTCCACCAATGCTCTCATCCGGAAATGGGATTCCAACTGTCAGTGGATGTGCGATACTTGTCGGGTTGGCGAGTGGAACGTGATATTTTGCTACTGCGCCGACGAGGTAAAAGAGAGAGAGACGGGGGGGGAAGGGGGCGGCGAGAGAGAGGGGGTGCGATTAGAGAGAGAGAGAGAGAGAGAGAGAGAGAGAGAGAGAGAGAGAGAGAGAGAGAGAGAGAGAGAGAGAGAGGACGACGATGCGGAAGCAACGTGTTGTATCGGGAGGAAGAAAATGTCGAAAAGATCCTCGATCTTTCGACGACGGTTCAATTAGGGATCTCTTTCTACATATGGGATTTTCCTCTCTGCCCTAGGGCGTATTTGCTGTTGCACTTCTCCGAACGTATCTAACCACTATTGCGGCCTCGACGGAGTCCTTAGAGTGAGGCTGCCCTTTTTGTGATCACGATTTACTATAATTCCTTGCATCTCTATTGATTTTGACATTCAGATGGTAATCGGATGCTCGCGACCCTTCGAGTACCCAGAAAGACAGCGAAAAGACAATGGCTGCTGAAGAGCGGTGGGGTAAATTGCCCACCATCGCCAGCCACGTATGCGCCACATCAGAAGCATTGTTAAGAACGAAACTCTTCCCGTGAGTCACACAGCTTCTCCGGCGAGTAACGTCACTTCCGTACAATTATGATGCACAGAGAATATCCTATGTTCGCACCGCTGCCGCAATATGACCCCTCTCCCTTAATCGGTGTGCTGCTCACGACTGCCACTGGTCTATTCCACAGGCCAACCTACTTCCTCCCTTGGCGTCCCTTTCCACTCTTGTGGGCTTCTCCTCTCTGCTCTGCGGTGTCTCTTCGTGTGCCCATAGTTAGTTTTAGGGTGGGCGCTTACTGCTCAAGGAATTTCTGTCGTTCTGATCGATCGCGCCGACATTTTTCTTGCTATCCATCGTCCCTTCGACTACGCATTCCTGTTTTTAATAGGGCGCTGACGGACTTGAGATGTCATCGTTGAACTGATCGCTATCCCCGCGGGTAATTCAGAATTACTTTGTTATTGTTCTGCATCTGGATTTGAACTCGGCTCCATATTGTTGACAATTCATGGGTGTACGAACTGAGCTGGGAGGAAGGAAACATTGGTACGCATGACCTTTATATTTCTATCGTTATGGCGAGCTACTAAGGTCTCTCCTCTTTTTATTTGTTTTTTGCGCTCTGTTTCTATGTCATTTCATTAAATTATCAGAATGCCTTTTTACACTGTAATCCTCTACAATTCTCTGTTAGGTCTTCTATCCTACGTACTCTAAATATATTAATCTATTATTGATCTCTCTGTGTTGTCGTTCTCTGCAGATCGAGATTGTTTCTAGCTTCTCTTTGTTTCCTCCCTTTTTGTTGCTGCCATTTTCTCTGTGTCCGCTGTCGTTAACCTGGTCTTATGTTTGCAATCATGTGCTTGGCGGTTCCCGGTTTCTCTTACGTATTCAAATGTGGGTTATTCACCCTCCTTTTGTCCCCGTCTCCCTTCGCAGCATTAGGATTTCGCCCAATCGCTGCCCACGGTACGTGCATGCCGCCCACTTTTATTCCCCCCTCCATTCCTCCTCTGTCTGCCCTGGTGGCTGCTGATGTCGTTGTCTTCTCTTCTACTTGCCTCTCTGTTTCAACCCTCTCTAAGTTTAGCCTTGCCAAAGCTAAGGTTGAGGGTTCAGTTCCCTTTCCGCTCGTCAGCTTCGTTGCCTGGCCAAGAAAAAGAATGGATACGTACACCACTCACCCCACACGCTTCTTTAGTAAATGCTCTTCCCTGTCTCTCCGACATCATCATTCTGCTACTTCACAATTGCATTCGTGCTTGCTTCTTCTGCCGACCGTCATTCGTTTGCACTCCTTTCTCTTTTGTGTCTTCTCACTCTCGTATCCTCTGCTGTGTCCTGTGTTTGTGTGTGTTTGGCTTCCAATTTGTGGTTGGCTCTGCTGAGGGTTTTCATCTGTGTTTCGTTTTATTCGTTGTTTCGACCTTCTCTGTCTTTTGCCCTTCTCTATGCTGAGTCCCTCAGTTCCTGTGCTTAGTGAAACCAGTGGATATATCCCACCTCATCACTGGTGTATCCTCATCCCTAACGTCTTCCCCTGCCCTCCCGCCTTCGGTCTCCGTTTCTCCTCCCTGGCGCCCCCTCCCCTCGGGTCGCCTCTGGGGTTTTTGTTCCCTTGCACATATCCCTGCGCATCTGTGCCGGTCGCATCTGCCACCGCTCATCTTCTCATGTGCGTCTCGGTCTGTCCGCTTCCCACGCTCGTGCCTTGGCTCGTGCTTAGTATTCCCAGCGCGCGTTCCTCCTTTCTTTCCCCTCTCGCCTCCCCCTCGCGCCTCCCCCTCGCGTATCCTCCTCCCGCCTTCCCTCTTTAGTCGACCCCGTGCGCGTGGATCCCCTCGCATCTCCGCTCTCACGTCTCCCCACCGCTTCTCCCTCCTCGCGGTTGCCCTTCGCGTCTTTTCCACCGTGTCGTACCTCTCCGTCTCAGTTCTTTTGTCTATCCTTTTTCTTTACCTTCTTGTCCCCCGCCTTTTTCACCTCCGTTCGTAGGCGCTTGCCACTTCTTTCTCCCCTCCTCTCTCACTTGTCTCCCCCTCTCCTTCACTGTTGCGCTCCCCTTCTTCATCACTGCTCACTCTGGCCACTTTCCTCGGTCGCGGTCCCTTGTTTCCTTCCCCCTCGCGTTCTTTGTTCTCCGCGTTGCTGACACGTTTTTTGGTTTGCCTTGTTTTCTCCCTTCTCTCTCTCTCTCTCTCTCTCCAATTTTTTAATTCTTTAGTCTTTTTCCCTATCGTCTCTTGTCTCCTTTACTCCCTTTTCTCTCTCTTTCCCTTATTCTCTTTCTCTTCTTTGTTTCTTCTCCCTCCTCTCGCTCCCCTTTTCTTCATCGTCTCTACTTTCCTGTCTCCGCCTCCTCGCCTCATATCTCGCTTCTGCTCCTCCTCCTGTTCCGGTCTCTTGGTATCGAAGTCTGACCATCAGTGACATATAAAATATTTTTCAATTATCGCCATTGTTCGCCAGTCAAACCACCCTCGTTCTTTATGTTTATCCTCTTCTTTTCCTGCCGTCTCTTTTATTGCCCTCGTCTCGCGTTACCTCTCCTCGCCGTCTTTTATGTCCTCTCGTTCCGCCTTCTTTGTCCGTCTTTGCTTCAGGTTTCTCCTTCGGGACAACGCTCGTCTTTTCTACCTTTCTCTCTTTCCTCCCCTTTTTTGTCTGTCTTCTCCTTCCCTTCTCTATCTCTTCCCCATCGCTTCTCTGCGCCCCTCCCTTCTCCCTCATCCCTCTTCCTACTACTGTCTTACGCTCTTCTCCGTGTCTCCCTGTTCTCTGCCGTTCACCCTGTCCTCCCCCTTTCTCTCATGCCCTTGTCTTTCTTCTGCACCCCTCTTCTCTCCTCTCTCTAGCTTTATCTCTTGCCCCCTCTAACAGTTGCCCTCCCCCTTCTCCTCCGCTCTCTACCACTTTTACAGTTATTTCCCGTTCTTTTGCCCGCCATGATTTCCTCTCCTTCCCTCTTCCCTCCTCCTCCTGTCTCTCTGCCCCCGTCCGACCGCTATCCTCCTCTTTTCTTTCCTTCAGCATCGTTCCCTGACCTCCGCCTTCCCTTGTCGATTCCTTTGCCTCTCGCTTTTTCTTCGCTCTTGTCCTCGCACCTCTATTTCCTTCCTCTCCCAGCTTTCCTCTTTCCTTCTTTCTTTCGTCCAGGTTTCGTCGATTCGCCTGGCTGCAGTTGGTGGTATGTTTTCTATTTCTTTCACTCTTTATTTCTGAGTCGTCCCTGGGCCGTTCCCGCTTGATTCTCCGCTTTTCCTGTTCCTTCGTTTTTGCCGGATTGCAGTTTCTCC